TTACTGAGTGTTTCACTTCCTTCTTCATTTCAGCCTGAGCATTCTTCAATATTTCTAACTCTTTTCTGAATTCATGCAGAAGTTTATCCCTATCTTCTCTCAGTTCTTTTATTTCTTTGCTTGTATGTTCTTTAAATTCACTGAATTCTTTTATTGTGTTTATAACTGTTCTTTTAGTTCCATGTCCTGTGTTATTTTTAGAGGGTTCTCATTATACTCCTCTAGAGGACTGATGGTACTTGGTGGGAATATATTATTGTGATTTTTCATGTTATTATTTTTTCTGTGTGACTTTTACATGTGGATTTCTTTTGTAGATTCTGGTTCTTGTGTGAGACTCAAGCCTTCCTTTTTGAGTTTTGGTCTGCTTCTTTTTGTAAACTCTATGTACCTTTGTGGTTTACTTGTTGAGCATGAAAAGATGCTTGGTCTAGGCTTCAGGTTCTCTCTTTTGATTTTATATTGGAGTGGCCAAATTTCTTTCATCTTGCTGCTCAGGAGTTCCCACAGCAGCCCAAGTCAGATGAAGATCAGATGCTCTCAGGCTTTCTCCTAAGGTCTGGATCCCTCCAGGGAAGATGCTGGCCTCAGGAATTTGAGGGCTGGGCTGGCCTGGGAGCAGGGCCCAGGAAAGGTGCTGGCCCCCAGGGATGCAAAGGGAGGTCGGGGAGAGAAGAGACCCAAGGGCACCTGGGGACAACGGGGACGAATTGGGTTGGTCTGGATGCAAAGGGTCAGGAAGCAGTGGGGATTCTGGGAGAGGTCAGTCCACAGGTCAGAGGTATCAGGACAAGAGATGGGTCAGTGCCCCTGCTAGGAGGAGAGATGGGGTGGGGGAGCTGGGAGGGTGAATGAGGCTGGGGGAGTCAAGGCACAGTGGGCACAGAAGCCAAACTTACCCAGGCAAGCTGCTGGCTCCAGGAAGCTATGGGGCTGGGCCACTTCTCTACTATTTTACATAATGTCATTTAAATTAATTTACGCACACATTTTTCAGTTTTCAAGGGTTTCTTTTTCTCCATTTGCTTGCCAGCTTTATCTCTTGACATTTTTGTAATAACCGTCTTAACAGAGGTAAAGTGATATTCATGGAGTTTTAATTTGCAGTTCTTTGATTACTAGTAATGTGAGCATGTTTATGCACTTGCTGGCAATTTCTTCTTTTGAGAAATACACATCTAAGTTCTTTGCCCATTTTTAATCAGTAATTTTGCTACTAATTGTTTGAGTTCCATATATTTTAGGTATTAATTCCTTATTAGATATGTGGCTACATTTTCTCCCATTACATAGATTGTCTCTTAGTTCTCTTGATTTTTCTCTTGTGCTGTGCACAAACTTCAGTTTGTTGTTGCATGAATATAATTCCATTTGTCTACTTGTGCTTTGTTCCTGGGGAGCCCTATCTAGAAAACCTTTGAGCAGACTAGGGTCAAAAAGCTTAGGATAGGGGCTGGAGAGATGGTTCAGTGGTTAAGAACACTGTTCTTGCAGAAGACCAGGGTTCAAATCCTAGCACCTACATGGCAGCTAACAACTATCCATAACTCCAGTTCCAGAGGCTCCAACAGCCTCTTCTGTCCTCTGCAAGCATTCATTGCATGACATGGGTGCACTTACCTACATGCAGGCAATACACACACACACACACACACACACACACACACATAAAATAAAATAAAAATAAGAAAAAAAGCTTAGGATAATATCAATTAACAAAGACAAAGCTGAGAATGGGCACTGTTTAAAAGGCACTCTTCTATCCAGTGACCTTCACACACATGACCTGGTTCAGATGACCATTGTCACCCAACAGCCCCTAGCTCTAGAGCTGACCTATTGAATGGTTTTGTCTGTTTTTGATGTTACAATTTATGTTGCTGTATTATTATTATTATTATTATTTTGTTCATTAATTTATGCGCTTGACAAAAGTGTATTAAGAGCCTACTATATGCCAGATAACATGCTAAACATTAGAAAAAATATTATAAACAAACTAGGTTCAATTCTTGGCCTTTTACCTTAGTAACAGAACCAGATATTAATAGATAATCTCACAAGTCATACTTTGCTATATGTACTATAGAAATATTATGGGGCTACTTTAAGAATTTACTACTTAACTAAGAAATGAGAGACTTGACATAGTCTAAGAGATCATAGGAAAATTTACCTAAAAATGATGTTTTAGGAAATTAAAACATTTATTTACCCATATTTGCATTCACATACATTCATTAATTTATCCATGAAGTAATTGCTAAAGACTGAGCTGGTTACTAAACAGAGAACATTTGTAAATTCCTTTTTAAAGTTTTTTATGTGTGTCTGTCTTCATGTATATATGTACATCACATGTGGGCAAGTGCCCTCAAAGGTCAGAAGAGGGCATGGATCTCTGGGAACTGGAGTCACAGGTGATTGTGAGCTACCCCATGTGGGTGCTGGGAACTGAACCCAGGTGCTCTGCAAGAGTACAAATACTCTTAACTGCCAAGTCATCTCCCCAACCCCTATTTCCTAAATTCTTTCATCAGTCTTTAATTTCTTCCTTTAAATGTATGCCACTGCTATCATTTCAGTGAAATGGATAATGAAGACATTGATAATGAAGACACTCCAAAGGACACCACATACAAGAAAGTCGTTTTCAGAAAGTACCTTGATAATACTTTTACCAAACGTGATCCTCAGGGAGAGCATGAGGAGCATCTTGGCATTCTTGGCCCTGTTATTAGAGCTGAAGTGGATGATGTTATCCAAGTAAGTCATCTTTTGAACTCTACTAAATCAGAGGAATTTCTACAACCCATAGCATTCATTAAGGAAAAGGTAACAGAAGAACTACAGGTGATTTGCTTCCCAGAAATAACAAATAATTGCATTTATTTTCAAAGACTGCTTGCTAGGCCATTTGATAGCTTTCAAATTAAAAAGTCTCATAATTTTAATGCTGAAAATGATTTAATCTGGAAGAGATAGCACTGTTATTTCTTGCTGACATTAACCTGTCTAAAGCTAACATGCAAAATTAAATGTTTAAGCAATGATTGAACTGGGTTTCATAGTAGAGATGGTGGCAACAGTAGTAAGTTAGGAATAGCTGCTGGTTTTTAATAAAAGACAAGATAGTAAAGTTAAAGAAGACTATCTTTCTGCCCTACAAAAGTAAGCATATTTCCTAAGTATCTTACCAATCTAGGTCATTGCATTGAAAATTTTGTATCCAGTTCTTATCCAATAGCTTGATTTTATATCAAAGTTATATCCCTATCCTTTCTGACCTCTCGCATATCAAATCAAATCAAAACAGCAATGACTAAAAATAAACAAAACCATGGGGAAAGGCCTTGGATGTAAAGTAAACCATTCTAGGTTCAGAAATATAAACTTTTGTCTATGCAAGTATTTGCCAACCTGTCAGTGATCATTTGCTGTTTATAAAAAATTGCACATGGGAGCCAGGGAGATGACTCAGTGGGTAAAGAGGTTGCTGTGCCAGCTGAGGACCTGAGTTCAGGCCTCCAGAACCCTACTTAAATCTGGGCTCGGTGGTGTGAGTCAAATACCAGCACTCCTAAGATGAAATGGGAGACAGAGACAAGAGAATTCTCAGAAGCTCACGGGCCAACTAGAGGCCCTGCCTCAAAGTGGATGATGAGGACTGACACCTGAAGTTGTCCTCTGATCTCCATATCCAGACCATAGTACATATATGATGGTACACATGAACATGCACATACATAAACACAATGATTTTTTTAAATGCACATAGATAGCCTGGTGTGGTGTGCAGGTACAATCCAAGCTACTTGGGAGGACAATGGAGGAAGATTGCTTGAGCCTAGGAATTAAGAGACCACCTGGGAAATATGGTAAACTCCTCATCAAAGAGAGAGAGAAAGAGAGAGAGAGAGAGAGAGAAACAGTGAGAGAAAGAAAGAGGCAGAGAGAGAGACAGAGACAGAGAATATAGCTCAGAGTACCTCCCTAACATGTAATAAAAAGGTCCTGGCTTTGAACTTTAGCACGACAAAAGTTACCCACTCAATCATGCAAGGAAATGGGACTGTGTATTAGTTAGCTTTCTGTTGCTATGGCAAAATATTTGCAATAACAGCCCAGAGGAGGAAAAGCTCATTTCAGCCCATGGTTGCTAAATTCATGGTTGTTTGACTCCATTGCTTTGAGGCCTGTGGTAAGGGTGAACATGACAGCAGAGGGTGTGTGTGGCGGAGCAGAGCTGGAAAGTGAATAGAGAGAAAAGGAGGTGCTGCTGTCCTAAGAGCTCTTTCAAGGAGTCCTCCCCTGATGTACTTTCCTTCTACCAGGCCCTTGGCCCTCCCACCTAAAGGTTTCACCACCTCCCAATAGTGCCACAAGCTAGAAACTAAGTCTTTAGCATATGGCTTTGGGGAGACATTTAAAACCCAAGAATAATAGAACATAAGATTTTTTATTATTCTAGATTTTCCCTGAAGATATAGAAGGCAACAGCTCTCTGTCATGTGATTAGTTAGTCACTAGAAGGTGTAAAGGAAAAGGACTAGAAGATTTGGCCATGGGTTTGAGGATGCTGGGATACAGAGACTCCCCGTGTGGCATTTAAAGTACTCTATCATCTGGTCCCATCTGTCATCATCTAGCCTTGTCACCGGTGCTCCCATTCACCCCTTTACATTTCACAGCTCAGCCATACCCAGACTCTTGGGGATCCTTCAAGTTGTCTCTTTACCACATTTTTCTGCTCCTCTGGGAACCTGAAACATCTTCTTTTCTCTTCGGATTTCTTTGAATCTGGTTTTCCTGAGAAGCCAACCACAGCCTTTCCAAGACAATCCCAACTAAACTCTTTCATACTTTATAGCACTCATTGTGTCCAACTTTGTGCATTGGATTCACATGTGCTTCGTCAGTAGCTTAAACACTTACTACAAGCAAGAGCCATGTCTTTCTCATCTTTACCTCTCTAGCATCTATTACCATAATTTCATTGGTAGGTGTGTATCTGTTGCTTTGGCAAAATGTATGAGGGAAACAGTTTAAAAGGAAAGATTTACTTTGGTTTGTGGCTTCAGTGGGTTTGAGTCCATAGTCACATGGCCCCCATCCCTGTGTGCTTGTGTTAAGACAGAATACCGTGGCAGAGCAAAGTTGATGATGTTGTGGAGGCCTGGGAGGCACCAAGGATAAGATATACTCATCAAGGGTAGATCCCTAGTGACCTTCCTCCAACTAGGCTGTATCTTCACTTCCCAAAAATAGCATCAAATTATGAATACATCCATCAATCAGTTGGTCAGAATCCTCATGATTCAATCACCTTCCTAAAGTCCCACCAAACACTAAACTGGTACCAAGACTTCAACAAATGCATTTTGGGGGACATAACAAATCATTACAGTAGTAGCTAATATCAGTACTTTAGCCTTGTACCTAAGAATGTATTTTGTTGTTTCTGAGGTAAGCTACTGGACCCCTATCTCACAGGATGGTTCTGAAAATTAGATGAAGTAATATGCATAAATTAATTTTCAGTTATAAGCACTCAATCCACCATAGCTCTGATTTCATAACTGTCTGTTACAGTCTACAATGCTGACAGTTTTTAGTCTTTAGTCTGGTTCTATGCATTAATGCATTTGTGGGTCATTCTTTTTTCTAGGTTCGCTTTAAAAATTTAGCATCCAGACCATATTCTCTTCATGCCCATGGACTTTCTTATGAAAAGTCATCAGAAGGAAAGACTTATGAAGATGAATCTCCTGAATGGTTTAAGGAAGATAATGCTGTCCAGCCAAATAGCAGTTATACATACGTGTGGCATGCCACTGAGCGGTCAGGGCCAGAAAACCCTGGCTCTGCCTGCCGGGCTTGGGCCTACTACTCAGCAGTGAATATGGTGGGTACTTCCACTGGAAGCTTTTGCCTTTCCCCTGCCCTTACAGCCAGAGTTCACCAAATGGAAGGGCCAAATTATTTCTTGGTAAAAGCCTCTCCTGCTTTTCATGAGAGCATAGCTCCTCAGACGATGCACAGAGAAACATTCAATAGAGAGGAAAGAGGATTACATAAATGCTTGGGTCTAAGAGCACTGGTGTTTACTGGGAAAGACATTTATTTGCAGTTTTAAAAATATGGTTGTAGTTTTAAGCCAGGCTTTGGGGGACTCTAGAGGGGCGGGCGGGTGCAGTGAGGAAGGACTAAGTGAACAGTGTGGGTGCAAATTACATACTGGGATAAGGGGTTTCAGGAGAAATTCTTTTCCATGACCTACTTAGTCCATGGGAAGAATCAATTTGTTACCTCTTGAATAGCCTTTGCTAATAAAGAGCAATGTGACAAGTAGTCAACCCTGCTCTGAGATAGATCGGGGCAAGGGGAGGGTGGCTTCCCAGAGGAAGAATACATCCAGGCACATTCCATTCTTCCAGCTCCACAGGGAGGAAGGAACAGCTAGTTTCTCTGGGCAAGCTAGCAACTTTGTTGACTGTGACAAGTCGTTCCCACCTGCTGTCTTCCTCACTGGCTCCTAGAAAACCAAGAGGAAAGGGTGGAAAGCCAGCATTCACGCAGCGCCTACTTCATACTCTCCACTGCTTTCTTTCACCTGGACCCTCTGAGGCAGAGCCATCCATACCACAGTGAGACACCCAGACACAGGTGGCTGAGCTCACAACTGACAAACACAGGGCCCTCTCCCAGTCCTTCACTGTCAGACAGGCAGCCAGGTTTGGCCCTCAAATACTGAAGCTTTCTTTTCTAGGCCAAGGTATCCAGATACTGTTCCCAGGGCTTCCTTTTGTTGCTTGGCAAATGGTTTAGGCTGGGCCTTGGATACCAGAATCTCTAAGACTTTTTGAAAACAAGTGAAGGGGTCAAGGCCATCCACAGACAGTGACCAACCCAGTTCCGTGTTAAAAACTTTTCAGCCAACAGGGAACAGACTCCACATCAAGGACAGAGGGGTCCCTGGAAAGCCTCTCAGTTCTGGAAGAAATATCATGCCTGCCTGTCCCTGACCAGCCGGGTCTCCCGGAACCCAGCTGGCACTCCCAGGGATTGAGACCAGGCATCTGGAGGTGGAACTGCAGGCACGAGGCTCAGGCAGGCTCCAGCCCCCCAAAGGAGGCAGAGGTGGGGCACCCAGGGCTGCACAGCACCCAGTCACTGTGGCCTCACAGGGACCAGGCACAACAGGCTGTGTCAGCCTCACCTGGGAAGCAAGACATGAATGAGACACCCAGTACTGACACAGGTCCTTTCCTATCCTACATCCCTTTATACAGGCCCAGCAGGCCCTAGGGCAGGGCACAGAGCGAGGCCTTGGCTCGCTTCTTTTGAACAGTATTTGTTAGTTTCTATACACTGTTTAAGGGAAGACTGAGAGGCTGGAGAGATCACCCAGCAATTAAGAGCGACCCAGGTTTGGTGCCTAGCACTCATATGGCGGCTGACAGTGGTCCATAACTCCAGTTCCAGGGGAATCCACAACCTCTTTTGGCCTCTGTGGGCACCACACTCATGTGCACAAACCCATGCTCAAACTACACACGTACACATTTTTAAAAATAAGTTTTAAATTTAAAAAAAGGAGGGAACAAGACCTGTAATTTGAGGAGGAAGAGCACAGGCTCCCTTTTTTGTTGTTGTTGTCCTTTTGATTTTATTTTATTTTATTATTTTATTTTATTTGGTGTTGGTGATCAAACCCAGGGCCTCCTGTATGCTGAGCAGGTGCTCTACCACTGGGCTGCAACCACCAGCTTCTAGACTTAAATTCAAATTCCTACTCTGTCTCTACAGTGACCTTAGAAAAATAATTTGACCTTTCTTAACCTGGTTCTAAAATTTGGAAAGTGAGATAATAGCTGTGTGTGGCAGGAGGGTCTGCAATTCCAGAGAAGTCGTTTCCAGAGTTTAGGATTTGCCTTGGCTCAAAGTGGGTTCAAGGCTTAAAAATGGTCAGGTGTGCATTTAATCCCAACACTGAAGAGGCAGAGGCAGGTGACTCTCTGTGAGTTTGAGGCCAGCCTGGCTGCATCTGGCATTCCAGGTCAGCTAGGGCTAGATGGTGAGACCCTGTCTCAAAAATGAACATACAAACAAAGCCTCAGGATGGAACTCAGCGGTAGAGTGCTTGACTATTAATTAACCACTTGACTTTCATGCTCAAAGCTTTGGCTTAAATCTAAGAGAGAGAGAGAGGGAGAGAGAGAGAGAGAGAGAGAGAGAGAGAGAGAGAGAGAGAGAGAGAGAGAGAGAGGGGAGACACACATGTTAGAGAGAGAGAGAGAGAGAGGAGGCAGACACATGTTCAATGAATGAATTTACATTTAACATGTAGGATGATTGTCAGGATAAAACGAGATACTATTGGCAAAGCATTTGCTACATTACAGATGCCCAATAAATGTAAGCCATTCTCATTTTATTACCTTTACTTGAGTAAAGGAGAATGTAATCAGAGGAAGAAAATGTGATATAGCAAACTTAAATGATTACTATCCAGGCTTATTCATTGCTAATCCTCAAGTTCAGAACCTCTAAGAAATGATTTGGTTTTGACAGTGATTGTCATAAGAGCAAAGATAACCTTGATCAAAAGAAAGTACTTACAGTTTGCTCTTCCTGATTTCCAGGAGAAAGATATCCACTCGGGTTTGATCGGCCCCCTTCTGATCTGCCAGAAGGGGACACTTCATAAGGAGAGCAACATGCCTGTGGACATGAGAGAATTTGTCTTACTCTTTATGGTCTTTGATGAGAAGAAGAGCTGGTATTATGAAAAGTCCAAAAGGTCTTGGAGATCCAAATCTTCAGAAGGGCAAAATTCCCATGAGTTTTATGGTATTGTATTCTAACTTTGATCTAATCTCTGAATTAAACCTCACTAGGTCACTGTGATTCCTGCCTTTAGGTCATCACATGATTAGACATTAGATACTTCTGAAGAGACAAGAGCTTCAACCAAGCCTGGCTCCTTAGCATCCCAGGGAGGATGGAGCTGGCAGGCAGCCCTGCAGGTTAAGAGCATAGAGGGTCCACAGGACAGAACACAAAGGCTGCTGGCAGACAAACTGAAACTAACCAACAAGAAAAAAAGGGCATCAGTTGGTAGTATACATGGGGAAGGGATGAATATCATTCTGCACTTCAAGATGCTAATGAACCTGTTTCTTGATCTCTAAAAAAGTGAGTAATCGCATAAGGAAAATGATCACACGACTCTTCTGAAATAAGAGTGATTCTGACAGTTCCAGCTCTCAGCAGCTACACGTAGAATCTATGCCAAGTAGCAGGCGATTGAAAGGAGGTAGGAAGCTAGGCAGCCACATCACAGGAAGACAGTGGCAAGGCCGTCACACTTGGGAAGTATCTTCATTCAGAAATCCATTCAGGAAAATGGCCTGTTAAGTGTGAATTAAATTGCAAACAGTTTTAGAAAGAGGCAGATTTTAGGATTTGGTAGACAGTCAAAAGAATGACAGTTGGAAATCAGAAGAAAATAAAAGTTAGTCAGTCAGCAAGGTGTCTTGGCAAGTAAGGGCACTTGCCACCACACCTGAGGACCTAAGTTTGACCGCCTCCCCCAGAACCTGCACAGTGGAAAGACTCCCCCCTATAAATTGCTCTCTGACCTACACATGCTGGCCACAGCTCTAAATTGCCGACATGTACAGACACATGCACACACAAATAAATAAATGTAAAAGGATATTTCAAAAAAGTAAAAAATAACTGATAAGCCCTGATTTCAACTTTTAGCAACGGAGGTGGTTGTTCTGAAATTTCCCATGAAGGAGGAGCTGTGCAGAATAATGAGCCAGCAGAAGAGAAGAGAAAGTTGCTATTTCATAGGAAATTAAACAAATAAAAGGCATTATACAGAGTTGGGCTTGATGACACAGGCCTGTAATCCCAGCACTCAGGAGACTGAGGTAGAAGGATTGAAAGTTTGAGACAAGCCACAGTTACAAAGTGAGGTCTTGTCTCAAAGAATAAAATAAAATAGTAAAGACATTTTTATAATATGCTGTTCAGTGCTACCCCAAACAGCCATGAAGGCTAAGTAGACCTAGTCTCCCCGTCACATTCACAAGCTCAGATATCTTGCTTTTATATTTGATCTTACTTCTAGGAGAAGTTCAATAATAGCATCCACATCCGTAAACCTGCTTCAAGATAGAAGTAGGCAAACAGTGTGATTTGTAATTTGCTCTAAAACCTTGTCCACTAAGGATGGAAGCTGCTTATGATAAAAACATTAGAAGATTTCAAAAATTCAAATATTTGAAAAATTCTGTTAAACAAAAGACAGCCAACAGACTACAAAGGAATCTCCCCCCTTCTCTTCTCCCCTCCTCTCCCCTTTCCCCTTTCCCTCCCCATCCCTCCTCTCCCCTCTCCTCTTCTCCCATTTCTAAGCCTCTCAGCCTTTGAGTTTACACTGATAAAAAACTCACCGGCTGCTGAATCAGACATGCTTGTCTCTTAGCTATGCCTTTTACTCTCCAGGAAATGCTTCCCGATTTCCTTAAAAAGTCAAATACGTTCAATATAGTTTCTATCCTAATGTATTACAACCTAATTCTCAGGAATCTGGCAGTTCCAGGGTATAGTATTTATCAGGATTTATGATAAGCTGACTTCTTGAGTCCCCATCCCCTAGTACAGTGCCTGGCCTTTGTAACATGTGCTCAGGAAATATACATAACAGTGAATACATGAACAAATCCAATCCTTCAGCTCCACCTACAGAATATTTACCGAGCACTCTATTATGTTTAGAGTTTTTACCCCCATAGCCTGGTGTAACTATTGAGCAGTCTTGATATAGTAATCACTGGAGTTGGCTGTCACTCTGAGGAGATCTATTTCCTAAACAGAACGTGGAGTTCTGGAGTAAAAGTTGGTGCTACAAGTATATAGGTAGATGTTCCTATGACTGGTATAATTTTACAGGTGCCAAAATAATCTAAACTCCTCCTCCAAAAATTCTCTTGACTGGTTTCCAATATTCCACAGACATTCCATTAATAATAATTTTTAAAATATCTTCCCTTACTTTGGTTCCAGTTAAATATTTGGTATCACTAAGCTTTATCATTAAATTGTGTTATATTCTTAAAGGGATTAAGTTTACCAGATGCCATGCACAGACACACAAACACACACACAGACACACACACACACACACACACACACATGTGTGTGTGTGTGTGCGCACGCACGCACGCGCAATGGCATGTATGGTGGGTGATCAATGCTCAAGTCTGAGGCAGGAAGACTTTGAGTTCAACATCAGCTGAACCTACAGAGTAGGCTCCAGGCCAGCCTAGGCTACATACCAAGATCCTGTCTCAAAAAGAATGAAAATCTAATTATATCACTAAAGGCAGGGTGGGTACAGTCTAAGATCTTAAACATCTAAACTGAGAGATGGATAGAGTAGCAATCACATCAAGAAAAGTGGGTGTGTTCTCCAAAGGTAGGATCCAGCTTCTTAGGGTGAGAACTTCAGGACATAGAAGGCCTCAGTGTGATGCGCTGCTTGCCCTTCCCACCCCTGGCGTTTGTGTCATCTGTCCATCTTAGTCTCTGCTGTTCTGTTCAAAGGAACAGTTACTATGAAAGACAAATGGGAAAAGCCTTGAGCAGGAGCAGGATAAAATCTGGGTAAAAGAAAGACAATGTAGTGAAATGGAGCTGACCCACACTCCTGTGGGTTGTTCTGGCGTTTTTGTTTCAGCCTCTTGCTGCTATAGTGACACATAGGAGGACCATTCCTATGCCTTGTAGGCCTGGGGATGTCCAGTAATGAGGAAGATGTGTGTGAGTGGGTGACCCCCTATTTCTTTACTAGCCACCTCCTTGTATATGCAAGTTTTTAATTGATTATGACTCTCTTTCTTCCCAGCCATTAATGGGATGATCTACAACCTGCCTGGTCTGCGAATGTACGAGCAAGAGTGGGTGAGACTCCACCTGCTGAACATGGGTGACTCCCGAGATATTCACGTGGTTCACTTTCATGGCCAGACCCTGCTGGAAAATGGCTCCCAACAGCACCAGTTAGGGGTCTGGCCCCTCTTGCCTGGTAAAGATGTGGGAAATGGAAGAGATCCCTGCTAAGAAATAGCAAGCCAAGGCACCTGTAACTTCTCATTCTCTCCTTGTGTATCTACTGCTTAAGGGGTCAGAACACAAAATTTTGGTCTAAACGCTGGGCAAAGCTTTATATCTATACTGTACACAGAGTACAAAGGAGCTCTCATAGAAACTGTACGCAAGCCCCCCACAGGGTAGGTGCTACATCTGATGCAGTTTCTCCTGAGTCACTATGAATCATGTGGATCAGATCTCAAGTACATAAAAACATGGGTCACCAAGTGCACAGAAAACTCAGTGAAGCTATCACCTTAGAGAGGGTGATTAAAAACTTAACTGGGGTTTTAGGATTCTTGGATTCTACTTCTGTGTCCTTCAGCCTGTCTTTTCTTATGACTTCAGGACTCATCATCTTGAGCAGATTCATGACGCTGTTTACAGAGAAATTGTTTTAATGATCATAAAAACTAAAAGCTGGCCAAGGTATTTAGAGGTTTTCATATAAAAACATGAAGTGTAAATACACACAAGCTACTATCAACAGAAAGGATTTTGAGGTGCTATTGAGTTGTTTATAAGGAGATCTTTTAGGGAGTGGAACGATGAGGGCAAGATGCCACTGAAGGCCTAGGAGGCTGGTTAAGATGCAAATCTGCTGAGACTGTACTCAGAGACTTTGAGTAGAAAAGTAGATCTTAGGCAGAAGTCCTAGGACCCTGCATTCCTAACAAGCTTCTGTCCTTCCATATCTCTGTCTAAAGAACTGGAGAAAGGCAACCTTTTGACAAGACTTTGGGCAGGAAAGTCATTGTGCAAATCTGCCTCAGATGAGGACACAGAGGTCCAATGGGTCTGGTTCACTAAGTAGAGGGGAAAAGTGGTTTCTTACTTGTTTTTCACATGCTTGTGATTCCCTAATAAATCTAGAAAGAGCTGTTCTATTAAGATCAGAGATAGAAGGGACCAGTCCAAACTCACCCCATCTTTTCAACAATCATTAGCATATCAGTGGTCCTTTGCAAGACAGACTGAGAGGTGAGGGTTGTATGGCCCAGCTAAATACCGAATTGCAGAGAATATTAGAGATCTTGTTCAGTGTGTTTGAGGTAGATAATTACCAGCTATTAATTTTCACTCACAATCTGGAAAATGGCCACAAACTACAGTGAATGGAATTTAAGTTTGAAATTGGAAAAAAGTAAATTTTGAGTGCCTGGATGAATAAACAGAAGATTTAGAAATGTCCTTTTTTCAGTGATTTTTCTGAAACACTGTATGTAAATTTTAATCTAAGTATGTAATGCAAGTTTTCAAGAAAATTGGAAATTATGAAGAAAGGATATTTTGTTTTGTTTTCTTATATATAAAAAGTATAGAGGGGAAGAAAACATACAATAATTTCGAAACTGGATGGCAAGTCATTCAAGGTCATTTTGGAACTTGACACTATGAAATTGAATGGTGTGTGAACTAGCTTGTAATGGTACATTTAGATAAGTGAAAGTTTCATTTCAGTGAGGGCTGGTAGACTTTTTTAAATGTTGGAATTACTGTTTTTAGTAATTTTGTTTTTGTTGGGTTTGTCTGCTTGAATTTTTATTTTATTTATTTTTTAATTTTTATTTGTTTATTTTCTTTGAGAGAGAATCTCACGGTGTAGCCCTGGCTGGACTAGAACTTGCTATGTAGATCAGGCTAGCCTCAAATACACAGAGATCTGCCTGCCCCTATCTCCTGAGTGCTGGGATTAAAGATGTGTGCACTACCATGCCCAGCTGTTTGGATTTTAAAAATTAGGATGCAGCCAAGGATGGCCTTCAACTCCTAATCCTTCTGCCTATATCTCCTGAATGCTAAGGTTGTAGGCACGCACAGCCACACTCAGTGTATAGGATGTGGGGGATCAAACACAGGGCTTCATGAATTCTAGGCAAGCATTCCACTACTGAGCCATATTCCCACCCATATTTTTTGTAATTTGTGTACTGATGCTGCGGCTGTCTCTGGATTTGCTTTTATCTGTTGTATTGGCAGTCTTGCCTCAAGAGAAATGGGTAACTCAAATTCTATTTTAAAGCTTCTTGTGATCTAGGGATTGTAAGATTCTTAGCACCACCAAAATAATAACTTGTTAATCATTAGGTTAGCAATTTTATCCTTTACTCTCTATTTTAGGTTCATTTAAAACTCTTGAAATGAAAGCATCAAAGCCTGGCTGGTGGCTCCTAGACACAGAGGTTGGAGAGAATCAGAGAGCGGGGATGCAAACGCCATTTCTCATCATTGACAAAGGTATCACACATGACTTTTACTGGTGAAAGAGTGCCTGATACTAGAATATTTCCAGCTTTCAATTGCAAATACTCAGTTTTTATCATTCTGATATGACAAAATCAAAATGTGTGCCTTAGTTGCTTTTATTCTGGCCCATGGTCTGACACATGTCAATCATCTATAAAACTTAAACACATGGTTCAAGCATTCCTCCGTTGGGGAACCAGCAGAAAGCATCCTTCCTCATGATTTGTGATCCATGGAAAAGTGTATATAAGAAAATATCCAGTTTCCAAGGGTAGAGCAGAAAAAGGCAACCAGAATTAAGCCATAACTGAGGCAGTTGCTTATCCAGTATCTATCTGTGCCTTACCAAGCATCTGTTGAATGCCAGACACTAGACTCACACCCATGGTCACAGTATCTGGTATTCTCTTCCTTAACTGAGATGCAAATAACCTTGGAACTTCAGGTCAACAGTCAAGGGTATAGTTTTATGAATGATAGTACATAATATATAATATTTTGTTTTCAAATCCAAACACATGGAAATCAGCTTAGTAATCAATTACTTTTTAGGACCACTGTTGTTTTCCTCTAAGGTATCACTATTTCAGTATCAGCACTAATCTTGCTAAGTGTTTTCCACTTTCTAATCAGATATATTTTGTGTCATTGCCACAAAAGGTGGATAAAAATACATAGTTACTGGCCCATCAGAGGTATAACTCTAGCTATGGAAGTTGTACCCTATGTAAAATAAGGAAAAAAATAATTTTTGTTGTTTTTGTTTTTCATAGACTGTAAGATGCCAATGGGCCTAAGCACGGGCGTCATATCTGATTCACAGATCAAGGCCTCAGAGTATCTGAGTAAGTAGGAGCCTCTTAGCCTGTCCACAACAACACCAACCCTCATGTAGTATACAGCCCATGAAACCATACTTGACAACTCACCTACAGGCCAGTTCTTCTCCCCAGGCTTATCCTCTACCAGAGCATAATGAAACAGCTCTGTTTGGGTTGCTCTTCTCTTAGGAAAAGGAGAAATATATCAGGAGCTAAAACCTTATGGGTATACTACTTATCATTTCCACTTCCTCTGATCTGCCTGAAGAGTCTTTTCTAGGACAAGCCAAGGTCTTGGCAAAGCTGATGTCTCCATACAGGCAGTCCAATATCACTGCAGGGATTTGGCAGGAAGTAGATAGCTTAGTCTTATGACCCTGTGCTCATTTCCAAAATGCTCCCATTTATCACACATCTAACATCCAGCCAGGTTCACAGGGTTTTATCAGACATGAAAAACTGTTCCCATCAAGGTGGCTTCCTGCCTATGCCAGCCATTCATCTGGCCAAGAAACTTTATAATAGGAACTCCTCTTAAATTTATTCATTTTGCCTCAAATCTCTTCCCAAGATCAAGAGGCCATCATCAAGAAGATAATGAGGCTCTTGCACATCCTTCCCAAAGCTTCCTGTTCAACAGACACATTCAGCAGTAGCCATATCAACATAACTGAGAAAACACAAACACGACCTGTGTGCAAGAAAGGGTGGGTGATGGTATACAGCTGACTAAACATGAGCTTGAAGCTAAGGTTTCATCATCGAAGACTGGCTTGGCAGCCAATGCCCGCCTCACCTGTCTGGTCTCTGTCTCCTAACTGTAACACAGGTCCTTCAAGGACTGATTTTCTGCTGAACTAAGCTCATGTGGGAAATTGATAATTGTCTGGTTTTTCTTTTTTTAAAGATTCAAGCCAGATATGGTGGCACATGGTTGAAATCACAGCACTCAGGCAGTTGAGGCAGGAAGATTCTGAGTTCCAGTCTAGCCTCGGCTACATAACAAACCTTGTTTTAAAAATAAGTAACTTTACAAAAAAAAAACCCAAATAAGTAAATAATTATTCAGAATTAGTTTTTTCTTCTTTTGAATTAGATTATTGGGAGCCCAAATTAGCAAGATTAAACAATGGTGGCTCCTATAATGCTTGGAGTATAGAAAAACCTGCATTAGAACTTGCCTCCAAACCTTGGATTCAGGTATGTAACCTGATGATATTTACTGCTTTATAATAAAAATGACAGTGATCTCATAATTTCTTCTTGTTGTTATTGCAATATTATTAGGAGAAATAGCAATAACTGGGCAGTAGGCACTCAGATCAGTACTTTGCATCCTCCAAACCAATCCAGTTAGGGTAGTTCTAGTAATTTTCAATTTTAGAGATGAAAAACCAAGACAGAAAATTTCTTGTTTTTTCAACTTTCAAGTCAGCTACTTTCCCAAAGTAACAGGCAGCTAGCACGTGTTTGCGCTAACACTCATTTGGATACTCTTTTTCTCAATGAAGATTTCACCAAGCCATTTTATGAGCTTGCTAAGACCTTAGGGCCTCCCTCTTAATGCTAAAGAAAACTGAACTATACCAGAGTTGGCAAAGTGTGACTCACTGACATAGACAGGTCTGTTTACTGGCTTTGCTGTATTGCAGGTGGATATGCAGAAGGAAGTCATAGTCACTGGGATACAAACCCAAGGTGCTAAACACTACCTGAAGTCCTACTTTACCACACAGTTCTATGTGGCCTACAGCTCTGACCAAACCAACTGGCAGATCTTCAAAGGGAACAGCACAAAGAATGTGATGGTTTGTGCAATGCAGTTTCTAACTGAGTCTCAAAGGCCCATCTTGGGGTTACTATGACTGTATCCTTTCAAAATTATACTTCAGGGTGTTAGAAATGTGAATGATTTTCTAAGTCTTATGGAGGAAAATGGTAATACAATGAGTCTATACGTCACAAACTAAAAGGATACGTGGAACTACTAAACTTCAAAACATTACAAAACTTGATGAAAAATATTGTCATTAAACAAATCACCCAGAAAAACCAGACTGTAAGATGATGTCCTTCAGAGAGGAATATCTGTTTTATTCGACAGGCACCTTATGCTAGAAACTGGCCACCAAGAGTTTTGATGTTGCTATCATACTTTGTTTTATTTGTCTAAATGTACCTGATATGGTGGTGATTTTGATTACCTGGTGTTAGGCCACTGATGCTCTGAGGCAGTATGATTCTGAGACTGATTTTGAGGCCATGCCTGAGAATTGATATTACTCCACTTGGTCTTCCATGGGCTTAGCCAAAATTTCTAGCTCTTTCCCTCTTCTCCAAAGAAAAATAGCCAAATGTAGGCATCTGTCTGCTGTCATTATACCAACAACCTTGATTCTGCTTCTATTGATATATTTTGGAAGATCACTTACTATTTACTTTTTTCCTTTCCTATCATTATCTATTTCTAGTAGTAAGTCATTTGTAATATACTTTAGATGAAATCAGTAAAATCTTAAATGATTGTTCCTAAAAATCAGTTATGGGAGAGAGAATAGATAACAGTTGACACCATAGCATAAGGATTTTTCACATCTCTATTCATGAGAGACTTTGGTGTTTAGTTTTATTGTTTTATACCATCTCTTTCTAACTTTGATATCACAGGAATAGTAGGTTCATGAGGTAAATTAATAAGCATGCTTTTCTGTACTCTGGATGAGTTCTACCATCGATGTTAATTTTAAGAAATATTTGGTAGAAATCACCAACAATACTATCTAGACCTGACAATCCATTTGTGGTAAATTTAGAAATTACAAATTCAAATTCTTTCTTTGACAGTTTGAAGGTTATTCGAATAGTGTATTTTATATTGGATGGAGTTTTAAAAATAAATTGGCCCATGTCCTCTAACTCATTAAGTCACATGTGTTGCATGTTTATTGTATCAATTGTCCTTAGACATCCTCTAATATCTACAGGGTTTGTAGTGACATTGATATCATAGTTTTTATTTCTTATCTTATTTTTTTGGTCAGGCCTGCTATAGGTTTGTCAGTTTGTTTTAAACATCTCTAAGAACCGGCTCTTTCACTGACTTCTCTCTATTGTTTAGCTGTGTTCAATGATACTAATGAGTACCCTTAGCTTCTGTTTTAGTTGGGTGTTTTCTGATGCTTCTCCATCAGGGAAATGAGATAGGGAACAGCCTGGTGACTGCCAGGTCGGGGGTCAGAGTCCAGGCTCCTATTTGGCACCTGAGGAGGCCTTGTTCTTTTTTGCTGCTAAGTAGGAGTACAGTTCCACAGCGGTCTCTACTGACACTGCAGAGTGATCCTTTTTAGGAGCTAAAGAGGATAAAGCCCAAGATTCTTATTTTGACCTTCTCTGATACCCCTAGGAGGGTGCTCATACCACTTTAGTTCCAAAAATCTAGTTACATCCCTGCTGGAGGGCCCTTGTGTGTGTGTGTGTGTGTGTGTGTGTGTGTGTGTGTGTGTGTGTGTGTGTGTGTGTGTGTGTGTGTGTGTGTGTGTGTGTGTGTGTGTGTGTGTGTGTGTGTGTGTGTGTGTGTGTGTGTGTGTGTTTTGTCTGGCATACAACAGTTGTCTAAACAGGCTGCTTGCTTCTTCATCTCTAAGACTAGGATATATGAGCAAAAAGAAAAGTCAGGGAACACACCAGCATGTTATGTTATTCCTTAAGCCCCGAGAACCTTGTCTGTTCTGTTTTTGTTTTTGTTTTTTTCTTTTTAACCTCACCTTTAGTAGTCTTATACTTCGTTTATGTATAATGTCCAGGGTTTCTAGCGGTACTTTGCAGGATGAATAAAGTGTATCCATACTGTCTTCCTAGAAGTTGAGCTATCTCCACTTATTTTTTGAAATTAAGTTAATTGATTCAGTCCCAATAGAAAGAATCTTAGCTGATAGATGGGTCTTTAAAAATATAATCACTTTACAGAGAATTGTTATATGGCAAAGGTTTCCTCTTTCTTTCTAGTATTTTGAAGGCAATTCAGATGCCTCTACAATAAAGGAGAATCTGTTTGACCCACCTATTGTGGCTAGATATATCAGGATCTCTCCAACGAACTCCTATAACAGACCTACCCTTCGAATGGAGCTGCAAGGATGTGAGGTTAATGGTAAGAAACAGGATGCATTGTCTTCTCATGTGCATTTTAAAACTAAAGATTTGAGGGTTGTAGGAGAGTAAATAGAATTCTTAGATACACTCAATGACTTGGGATCCCAGAAAAAAATCCTTGTGAAATACAGGCTCCACTGAGAGATATACTCAGTGTGACTGTGACTGAAACAGAGTCTAGTTCCAGTAGCCAGAGGACAGGGAGCATCCCCTAAACAATGCCTGAATAGTATGGGGACCATCGTGGCCTGGCAAGAAAGGGTTATAAGTTGGAGGTATCGCCATTGGCCCATTTTGATTAAGAACTACTTGACTCTTCCAAAGTCTCCCAAGCCACTCAGACATATCTTTGGTGTTCAGTGAACATTTTTGAAATCAGAAACTGTTTTCTAACTTCCTAAAACCATGATTGTGCTCTGTATTCTCTTTCGTACCCTGAGAAAGTACTCAAATCTTTTATTTCAAAATTTCTATTTTCCAGGGGATGAAATATGACCTGTGGTCTAATAAAAAAATCTAAGTAACAACAAATAATTGTAGTAACAGTCTAGTATGTACATTAGAAGAGTATTTAGGAGTCTTATCAACTATTCTCTGACTCTTAAATCAAGGCCTTCCAGTATTTTTAACTTGAAGACACAAATAGTACTATCAGCTGCCTGGCATTCTGAAGTAGAAGAATAAAACAATTGGCCTAGGGCCTGGCTGATCCAGGTCACCACTGTCTGCTCAAAACCCGAGTAGGTGAAGGGATAAATATATGGTCACATGTTGTGTCACACTGTTGGGAGCTACCTGATCTTCCCCCAAGGTGTGAGGAAGAAACCCTGATTCACTGTGATGAAAGTACCTGGGTGTTGGAATCAGTTTCCTATCAAAGCAGATAACACTGTACTACACCCTTGACATTTGTGAGGGATCTGAATATGGGCATTTTTCCAGTGTCTGAATAATATCAGCACGCAAAACTGCTAAGTAGGAATTTTTGTGGGCGGGAGTACTCCATGAAACAGTTCCATAAATAGTGGGTTTTGTTCGTGTGTTTGTTTCCACAATCATGATGTAAATGGTAGCCTTGTTCAATCATAGTCAAGCTAACCTAAAATATGACGTTAAATTCTGTTAATTTATTGAAAACATCTCTTTTCTATATACTAAGCGTTACTTTTTCTTTGCTTTTTGATACTTACATAATTAGTAGGACATATTCCTTTTAGGATTTCTTTTCTGTATAGATAAAACAAACTATCACTTTAAGAAAATTTCCGCATGTTTTTCTAGGAAAAACAATGGTACTAAGATGAGTTGTCGGCTAGCTTCACTCACTAGCTGGGCTTCCTACACTGATAGGTCAGCTTTGCTGCCTAGAATACTCAAATTTTACCTGCGTAAAAGTCCAAATTGTGCATGAAAATATGAAATGGTGACTACCAAGGGCTTCTGTCAGGAAAAGAAACCATATTTTTTATATGCAGCCATGCATTGCTTAAACAACAGGGGATCTGTTCTGAAAAATGCATCTTTAGGCTATTTGTCATAGTGCAAATGTGGCAGATTGTGTTTACACAAACCTAGACAGCACAGGCAAGTCACTCAATGCAATCTTTTGATGCAATCAAGAAACACAATTGATGAGATGTGGGGTACTCCTGTCAGTATAACATGACATACTATTTTACAGAAAGCTAATGTTTTGTAATGACTCAAGGTATAGCAAATATATAGACTAGATTACACTGTGGTTTATTTTCAAGTATGAACTGTGCATAATTATATCCACTAAACTTTTATATAAGTAGCAGCACTGTGGTTTTTCTTTTTTAATATGAACACCATTACACATATATGAGTTTGGTGTTATATAATGATAGCTATGACATCACAACACGAGAGGAGCTTTTCAGCTCAGCATGAGAGCAGTATTTGGCATTTGGATTGAAAAACTGTTCCTTGGTGTAAAGATTGTTTTGCTGTTCCCTGGCAGTAATATTTCTTGCTGTCTCTGTTGCAAAATGCAACGCAGGAATTGTTAGTGTTATCCAATTAATTGTGTTACTTTTTTCTTGACAGGATGCTCCACACCATTGGGTATGGAAAATGGAAATATAGAAAACAAGCAAATCACAGCATCCTCATTTAAAAAATCTTGGTGGGGAGATTTCTGGGAACCTTCCCGTGCCCGTCTTAATGCCCAGGGCCGTGTGAATGCCTGGCAAGCCAAGGTGATTTAGACTATATAAATGGAGTTCTCTTGCCTTCCAGAAATAAACTGGCCACTGCCACAGGGAACATGGGAGTCTAGGGAGCAAGAATATAGTCCCCTGTTTCTGTATATTAAAATCATAGGTCTAAGAATCTAGGATGTCTGCAGAATCAACAGCTCTAGCTCTAACTATGGTTTAGAGCAAATTCATTCATCTTCTCTGCAATTCTTGGTCTAGCCTTGATTTAAAGCAGGGAGGGACAACAGTTTTCTGCAAAGATAGTATTTTAGGTTCAGTGTGACATATTCTCTGCTACAGCAGCAGGAACACAGGCCTGAACAGCATGTAAGTAAATGAGGATGGCATTGCCTACCAGTTCTTGGTTGAGAGACTTTAATCTTAATGCCATACAAATGATTTAGATCTATAACTTCTCTCTGTTTTTCATAATTTGTCAATATTTTTTTCTTAAGACATTTAAACTGTCTGTTCCCTTATCTTTATGACCATTGTGACATTCTTCCAGACAGCTGGAGGCATGGTTATAAACCCAGGAGTATAATTCAGTGATGTAAGTTAAACAAACACCTTCTGGAAAGTCATATTGCCTCTGATATTAACCATTAAGTTTATCGGGTTATTTGATTTTAAGATACCTGTTAATTGCTGACTTTATTTTATTCTTCAACTGATGGTAGAATCACAATGGTCTAATAACTTTATGATCCTTTCAACAAGGTAAATCCAAATCCTTACTTAGCCCCCTCCTGCCTCCCTCCCTTAAGATACACTATATTAATAGATTTCAATTCCCTGGACTCCTAAGAAGTCTTGGTATCAAAGTAGGCCACTATGAAGAAAAGAAAAATGTGGTATAAGCAAGACCCACACAGTATCTTTGGAACCAATAGCTGGGCCCTGAAATTCATTCTTACACATCATAGAATCATAGGACATTGGAGTGGCAGGAGTTTTTATGAAGCATTCCCTTCCAAGTCCCTTGTTTATGCTAAAATCTTCTACCTATATCCTGTATCATTGATGCATCCTTGATTTGAAGACACATTAAGATATCACCAAGAGGGCAACACAAAATGAACAAGAAGTTCTAGTCATTTAATTCAGTTAATTTGCTTTAAAATACTTATATCATGCAAATATATAAATACATATTCATACACATAGATATACATATGCTCACACAAACATGAATAGTGTTGAGGAAGTATATCAACATTTATTTCATATAGAATTTCATGAGAACTGTGGGGCATGAGAAATCTCCTGGAGGTGGGACTTCATCTCAGACTACTGAAAAACAGTTTGGCCTTACAAACTTTCTTCAAGCACATATCACCAAAGGTGATTGGGCCATTTATCAGGCTAGATACAGGACAATTACTATGAAAGGCATGAAGCCCTAATAACAGCTTTATAGACTCCTGGCTCTCTCAAATACTACATTTATTTTAAATATTAGATAATAAGAAATTGAACTACTATTGACATTAGAAGTTGACAGAAAAGTTAGGGTTTCTACAATATATTAAACAAGAAGAAGCAGATACCTAATTCATTCCCAGTGGCCCAGAAACAGCATCATTACAGTATCCAAACAAACCTGCTTAAGAAAATATTTACAGACTATTTGGAAATTTAATAATTCTTTCCAAGTAAAACTCATTTACGCATTCATCCGCAAGCTATTGATTAAGCAGCAACTGTCTGCCTTGTATTGCTATGAATACCAGGAAACTAAGTAAGCTCTCCAGCTTGAACAGCAAGGGACCCAAGCAAGTAAACAATTGCTGTATGCAGTATGAAATACCAATAGAAAAGTAAGTCGTTTTTAAATTTAGCATGCCAAGTGATGGATTTCACTGTGGCATCTTCATACATGTGATGTTACAGTATTTTTCTCTATTGGTTCCTTTCTTCATTGTCCTCCCCGTGCCCTCAGGCCTCTCTAGCTGGTTCCCTTCCTTACCCCAGATGGTCCCCTTCTGCTTTCTTGTCACATGAACTCCAGCACCCTCTCTTTTCACCCCTCAACCCAATATCTTCCTCCCCTCTCATGATCCATGGTATCCAACAAGAAATCACAGAAGAGAATCTTTCTGAGCTCTTTGAATTTCTTTTCTTTTTTTTCTAAGCAAAAAATTGTAGTTTAACACAGCAGATCCAGTTATGTACCTAGACAGATTCACAAGAGTAACAACACTGAGGGGTCAAGATATTACACACATGAGCAATTCAAATGCTTCATCAACCCCTTCTGGGCCTCTTTTGGCGTTTATCTCCTGGGTGAGAAATAGAGCATGTCACATAGTTCTGGAGGTTTCGTCACTGTGCAGCTTTTCCTGGATGTGAATATGCTGCTTCCCTTTCTAAGACATGCTCAGGCCAGCAGTACTGAGGCTGAATGGGATGCTGCCACAGAGCACAGAGAACTTTGTGGAGCTGAGGGGGTGGGTCAGGCCCACTTGCATGAGAAGACATTCCTGTCTGCGAGCTCCTTGAATTTCTAAATATCTTAATCTTTAAAGGGGTCTAGCATCTTCTTTATTTCAGTGGTTTTATCATTTCATAGGCAAACAACAACAAACAGTGGTTACAAGTTGATCTACTCAGAACCAAGAAGATAACTGCCATAGTGACACAGGGCTGTACGTCTTTGTCCTCGGAAATGTATGTGAAGAGCTACACCATCCACTACAGTGACCAGGGCGTGGAATGGAAAGCTTATAGGCAGAAATCCTCCATGGTGGACAAGGTACAGGGCGCCATGTTGACAGAAAGCAATCTGAAAGCTGTTTCATGCTGAGAATAGTGACAGCATCTTGCATTTGACAAACATGCATTGACTATGCACCATTCCTTATGTCTTCCCAGTCGAGTCCCACAGGTGCCCGGCCTTGGCAGAGGGACCACTTTCATCACCTTTGTAACTAAGCCACCCATGAAATAGTGAAGATAAAATACAGGGGATGGTGTGAGGCTTAATTAGCTATGATTGAGAAAGATGGTGAAATCATCCAGAAAACTTTTCACTGTGAAATGCTACAATAATACAAGTATTGCCTCAGATATACACATACTTGTGACAGATAAGTTGCCAAAGACCACAAACTACTTTTGTCACGTTGTTATTACACAGATAACAACTGGGAAGACTACATTTCTTGCAAAATAAACTACTCCATTACCTTCCCAAATTCCTCTACCTCCTAATAGATGGTTTAATAATACTACCAGAAGCAAAGCTAAAGAGATATGCATAGTAATCCAGGCATCAAATTGGGCTAAACCAGCAGGAAAAGCTACACAGGGAACTGAGGAAACTGAGATTTACTGAATGCGAAAGGACTGCTCAGCACTGAATACATTTGTAATCACTTGTCACTTTTTAAACCTCTGTTTTCACTTGTTTGATAGCAGGCTGTTCTCATGCCAGGGTGAACATCACTGTCATAAAGAAATAATAACTTGCTTCCTTCTTTATGTGTGTGTAAATCTTGATGAACTTCTGGAGGCTAAAAAACAAAGTGAAACATGACCAACAGTTTAGTTAGGGAGGCAGAGCATACACCAAAAGGATCAGTAAGCAAAACTGCAGGGTAATAGTTCATGTTCAAGGTCAATAACTACGAGTTCACAACCTGGTGCTCACCAAGCACTTGGTATGCGTTTACATACATTTTCAAATCTGTACAACTTTTGAGATGTAAAGAGTTTATCATTCTCATTTTGACATTGTGGCAATGGAGGACCAAATATAGAATTTGTCAAAGTCACACAGCTACAAAGGACCTAGAGAAGAGATAATTTTATACACTCCATGACATCATGTCAGAATTATTTATTTTTTCCTAATTTGACTCATTACTGGTAAGTGAAAATTCTTAGGGCATCTGGCTTGTGATTTCATAATTTATTGAGAAAGATAAATGTTGTGTGATGGCTCATTTTATGCTAAAAGGATTAAAAAATGATCTGTAAAATTTTAATGACTACTATGGCACCACTGAAGATTTTCTCCTGTTTTTCTGGCAGATTTTTGAAGGAAATAGTAACACCAAAGGACATATGAAGAACTTTTTCAATCCACCCATCATTTCCAGATTTATCCGTATCATTCCTAAAACATGGAATCAGAGTATTGCACTTCGCCTGGAGCTCTTTGGCTGTGATATTTACTAAAATTGAATGCTTAAAAAAAAAAAAAAAGAACAAGATACAGAAGAGACTCCTTATGACCTAAACCATTTAAAGTAGCTAATGTATTTTATGACTATTTTGAATGTTAACAACTTTCCACTATTTTTCTAATACAGAATAAATTCTATATAAGGTATTTTATAATGCTAATGCATTAGCTCATTGCTGCCATTAAGTGAAATTGTAGTTCATATTTCTTCATTAATTTGAATAGAGATGGAAAACTATTAAGAACCAATAAGAAAATGAATTATATTTCAATGTAATTGAAGATGTTATATAAAGTAATATTCATGTAATAATATGGTCTTTAATTGTAACTCTTAAAATGCTGCACACATTAATAAAAGAGATGTTACTTTTGTAAACTGTTTATACACCTGGAAAACTCTTATTCTTATATCTAACAAAAAACTGATTTGGGAACAAAGGAAATTGAAATAATTTGTTTTTCTTGATAGTAGGGAAAAATCTTGTTGGATGGAGTAAGAACTTTAAATAGCCTGTCTTGGGCTGGCAAGACAGCTCAAGGGATAAAAGTGCTTACTGCAAAGGCCTGATAAACCCAAGTTCAAGTCCCAAAACCTGTGATTTAAGAAGAGAGCTGATTCCAGAAAGTTGACCTCTGACCTCTACACATAGGCTGTGGCACACATGCAAACACACGCACACAAACACTAACAGTAAATAAAAATTTAAAAATCCCCCATGTGGTCTTTGTTCTTCTGATTCTCTGTGAGTAAAGAAGCAAATATGTTTGTAGCATTCGCAGTGGTCTTGTGAATGTGTCCTGTCCCTCCTTGGCTCAGGTTACACGTGTTGATGTGCGGGGTTAGCAGTTATTAGACATTAAACAAAACTGAACCTTGGGAGAACTCAGCATTTGCCTTGGCTTCATCTAAAAGCTGGCACTATCTGGTATGCTATTTCAAAACATTGGTTCACCTAAGGGAAGTCACCTACCTGTAAAGTAGAACATTTGAACTGTTTGTCCAAATGCAGCAGTTCCTATTAGAACTGCCCCAGGTCAAACTGGCAAGAAGTTGAAGTTTTCTTTCAGTGCCCTTCTTTCTGTGACCTCAACTTTATTGCCCACCCTCCCCAGCTTCTCCTTTTGGTACTCCCTTCCATAAAAACTTGGAATCCAATGACTTTGGAGCTCTTGTCAGACTGTGGAGTCTTTTGACATCAATGAAGTCACAAAGGACAGACACTCAATGTAGATAGGCTAGACTGTCATTTAAATAGATAGCTGAAAGTTTTTGTGAAATAAACCACCCCAAACCTTTAAACAGTAGCTGCACAAAATATATGTCAGGTGGCATATATGAAATATTGATTATTTTATTTTTTGACATTTTAAAATTTTTATTTATTTTATTTTTATTTATTTATTTTTTACTTATTTATTTAATAACCACATACTTAGAAGAAGCATTTCATTACAACAGCATTGACATATTCAATAACAATTTCCTGACCTAAGGTGTCTGGGGCACCAAGACAAGGACTGGGACAGAACCCAGGCTAGGAGGAGAGACCGACGGGGAAGATGGGAGGGTGAGTGAGGCTGGGGGAGTCAAGGCATGGAGGGCCCAATTGACTTACCCCAGAGAGAGAGGCCTGCGGTTGTAGAGAGTGATAATTTTATTTTTAATAATCTCACTAAACTGGGCATGGTGACACAGCCTTTAGTTCCAGAACTCAGGAGGCAGAGGCAGGTAGACCACTATAAAACTGAAACTAGCCTAGTCTACATAGCGAATTCCAGGCCAGCTGGGGCTATAAGAACAACTTGTCTCAAAAAAAAGTTATGAGTTCTTTGAGAATTTCATACAATGTATTTTGATGTAAAAACAAATGGTGACAAATGCTGGCATAAATGTGGGGAAAGGAGAACACTTATTCACTGCTGGTAAAAGTGAAAACTGGTAGGTCAATAGTTTTACAATGTGTACATATATCAAAATGTGTTATATCCCATAAATACAATTTTTAAATTAAAAATTTAATTGTAAAAAAAAGCATCAAATTTATTTCTTCACTGGGTTGACTGGGCTCAGCAGAGCACTTCATCACTGGCTTCATTGTGTGTCTCTCATGTGGTTACAGTAAGAACATGGCCTTAGCTAGATTCCTAAGGGGCCTCAAGTGAATGCAGAGACAGTAGATTCTCTAGACCTCTCAATGCTGTCTCAGGTCCAGTCCCCACTACCTGACTTCTACATGTGTTTTTTCCACTTCCTGTCTCCAATAGGGTAGGTGGGCTTTTTATTTGGCTGATACTGTTTTCAAAGGTATACTTCTTTGAGGCCCAGAGCAGGTGCAGCCTCACTTCTGTCATGTTCTATTGGTTAAAGCAAGTTAAGAATAGGTGAGCCGAGATGCAGCGCAGGATGGAACTATATAGTTCGTTCATACCAGAAAGCGTTGTTCACCAGAAGTATCCTTAAAAACTATCAGTTAACTATTGTATCTTCAGGTAGGGTGAACCTTGCAATTATGTATGAGAGATTTAGACAGCCCTCAAACACGGGCTTTTTAGAAGTATTCATATTACAATCATTTCTTTTCTTTCATGATTCATTTACTATTTCACCAAAATTTCCCCAAGATTTTCATTGAACTTGTACCGAGGAACATCTGAGTACAAAAGCTTGACCCGATAGGACTTAACATATATGACAGACTACGTGAAATCCAGTGGGGGTATCAGGATGTGAGTGGGGGAGGGGGGCTAAATTTGATTAAGGTCTATTATATGAAATCCACAAAAACTCAATAAAAACATTTTTTAAAAGAAAATGAGAGCCTGAAGTTAAAGAGAGCATCCATTTGTTTTCTCCAGGCCTGGCCTGTGAATGTGCTCTCTGTTCAGCTACAAAAGGCCTTATGTTTAGCAGTCCAGGCTTAGGGTAGGGCTCAGCTGTCACCTTCTTGACTTCCTCAATTTTTAAACAAGGAATCAATATTTTCACTTTTTAATGAGCCCCATAAATTATAAAGCTAGTCCTGGTCTGGGTCTTTCTACTGTAGAACTATGTAGGATCTGTCTTGATCTGCAATCTATGGGATAGAATGGGGGCAAGAAAACTCTGTGATATAATAAGTAGGGGAAGAAGTGTCAATGAATCATAACACCCAATCTTGTTATCATAGATGAGATAAATAAGGCTCTTCCAAAGGTAAAGAAAATTGCTCAAAGTTATTACTTGTTAGTGTCAGAGCCAACATCAAAAAGCAGGCAATTATAAAAGGGAAATTTTAATGTTTGTAAGTCACATCCTTAGATGAGCAAACATGAATGTTAATTAATGACTCTTATCCAGAAAATATCAAAATGTTTGGGCTCTAAGTGATTTTGAAGTAAAAGGCAATTCTACTTTTTGTTACTCTCTTTGAAGTTGTCCAGCTGAGATTACAGCTTTGGCCTCTAGTATACCCTCCTCTGACATAACACGATGCATTGTTTGTTATATCACAACTGGTTGCTATGGAAAGGAGTTCAGTGACTCACAGCAGAATCATGACTTGGAAAGAGAAACCAACAGTTAAAATTCTAAGCATCATTAGTTATTCTAATTGAAAATTAGGAAAGAATGGCTGTGATTGCATCACAAACTTGAAAAGTCTTCAATAAATAGGGAATGGTTTCTTCTGGGTGATTTCAAGAACTAAAAGAAACGCCATGGTACTTTTTATAACAAAACTGAATGAGCATCATCTTCTGAGTTGAGGACCATTTTGACAAACTCAAGGGGAAAGCATTGGCCAAATAGCAAGGATCTTCCCAAGAGCCATGAATATCTCACCATGTATTTCTCTCCATGGACTAACAAGGAACAACTGGTGGGGCAATAGATTCAGCTCTGCATCAAGTGCTTGCCCAGTGCAGTAGATCTATCACATACCTACAAATATCTGAGAGTTCCATGTTACCACTTTTCACATTTTCACCCTTAACAGAAAAATCTTTTAAGGAAAAAGTTGTGACTAATTCCTTCAAGTTCTTATGTTTTCATAACCTAGGGATAGAATAAGCAGTGTCAGTGTGACACAGATGAAACTATTATGTGTGGAGTGATATTTACATGCTCAGCTCCTGAGTAACAAGGCTTCTCATGTCCAGGTATTGTGCTGGGAGAAGTTATAGTGCTTTAATATATTTAATTACAGTGTTTTAATATATAGTGCTTCTGGTTTGTATGAATGAACTGTCCACATCAAAACATATGCATGTATTTTCCATTTATTGTAATAAAATGTTTTTTAGGTGTGTCGTTATTTTAATGTTTTACATTAAACTTGTTCTATCTGTATACCAGAACACTAAGATAGGCATTATGGGTGAAAGTATAATAAAGGAAGTAAAAGACTGCTCTGACTCTTCAAGCCAGAATGGGATAAAGAGAAAAAAACAGAAACAAATAGAAACTTCAAGTCTATTAAGTCCAAGAGATTAGATTCTAAGGAGAGAAAAGACAGAATAGCCCATGTGGATTGGTGAAGTCCTATTATTAAAAAATCTATGAAGAATACTTGGCCCAGGTAATTCTACTGACATTTGCTTATAATAGAATGAGAGGATGGAGCTTGCATCTGTGCAGGACATCCGTGAAGCATGCTAGGGTAAAGGATCAATGAAAAAGCAAAGTATAGTGATTTTGTGCTTCCGGACAGCTTTGGGACCCGTTTTCCCTACTTTCTATTACACATTCCCATGATTCACCCATCTGCCTTCCTTCACCTCCTGCACCATGTTTATAATTCCAGTGTGTATGCAAGGTCAAAAGAAACAATATTTCTCTGAGTGAACCCCATGATCAGATGATCATATACAGAAAAAAATCTGTCACTTATCTGCAGACAGTAAAAGATGTTGAAAACCAAATTGAAAGCCAGTCACCTTTGGAAATATTATGGAAGATGCTCACATGAGACATGATTCTGATTTGCTCAGTATAATTGAAGAATGGCACTGGTGTGGTGGAAAGATGAGTGAATATAGGCAA